CCCTCCCTCCCTCCCTCTCCCTCCCTCTCCCTCCCTCTCCCTCCCCTCCTCCCTCCCTCTCCCTCCCTCTCCCTCCCTCTCCCTCCTTCTCCCTCCCTCTCTCCCTCCCCCTCTCTCAACCTGTCGTCACACTCCCACTCATCACTCACCACCATCAGATAATATACTATCCACCCCGAACCCCTCCAAGATCTCATTCCCCACCCAGCCCTTCTCAAACACATAATTCAAGACCTCCATCGCACTCCCAAATGCGCCCTTATGCTTCGTTCGCACGTCCAGTCTGTGTTTCAGCTCCTTCGTCTCGGCCTCGAAGTCCTTGAGGGCGTCCTTGGACTTGGAGGAGGAGGTGCAGGACTTCTTGAGGGTCTTGGTGAGGTAGAAGAGGATGTAGCGGATCCAGAGGACGTTGGTGTAGGGGATGTGCTCGGACCAAGAGTGACCTTGGTTCAGGTCGAGGGAGGAGGCGTCATGCCAGGAGGCCGGGAGCATGGTGTGGGTGCCGGTGAAGAGGTGGGTTCGCATGCTGAGTTTCGAGAATTGGATTAGCGAGGCAATAAAAATTGTATTCTGTGCAGGTCTGTTTTGTTTTGTACTTGATTTGCTGAGAGTGGCGGGAAAAGAGGGAGGGAGGGAGCGAGGGGCGGAAGCGAGGGGGGGAAGCGAAACGTACCGACGGTAATTGTCAAATTGCATGCCGCTTATACCACTGCCCTCGCCGTGGAAGAGCTCGAGGTCCTTCTCCAGATCTTTGAATACGATGTCGCCGTTCTTGACCTTGGCGCGGGAGAGACCGTAGTCGATGATCGTGACTGCGTAGCCGGAGAAGCCGTATTTGACGTTGCCATCAGTGGCTGGGTCATGCGCGGGGACATGGCTCTTTTGCCGGACGCAGATGTTGTTCTCGTGCAAATCGCGATGCTGGAAAGTTGTAAGTCGGTCGGTAGATCTTTGGTAGGAGGGGGGGGAGATACCTCAAACTCGCACTCAACCTCAGCCCGACCCAAAGCCATGATGACACCGAGTAGCAGATCCCAGACTTGATCAATAGTCGTGACCTCGCATTCGTCCAACACGGTTCCTGCATCGGCGAGTTCAAGAACCAGGAAAGTGGACTCATCCGTGAAGGTCTCGGGATCCGGAAAGTATGAGTTTGCCTCCCCCCCAATTTCTTTCCCGAGATACTCTGTATAAGCCGCGTGAAGAGCCGGGGCCCATTTGCCTTTCATGAGATGTGCATCTTTAAAACCGACAAATCCTGGAACTTCGGCGAGAATGTTCATGATACGGATCTCAGCAACAAGGTCTATTGCGTCAATAGCCGTCTCAATCAAAGAAGAAGCGGGATCATTAGGAACATTAAGTTGTAAAAGTTTGATAATAGATGTCCCTTGTTTAATGTTAATCCGATAGACTTCTGCGAAGGACGCCTCGGCTATCTTGGAAATAATGGCAGAAGGAGGGATCACTTCAGACCACTTGGAGACAATCAATTCGGAGCCTCGGTCAATTTTGTACGCATCAGCAAGGATTGCCAGATGCTTGGGTGCGGGCTCTCCATAGTAGGCTGGTCTGTAATTAGTTATTTGATCTGGAAAGAAAAGGAAAGATTGCGGGAGAATTACTGCGATCGATGCCAGTATGCTCAGAGTCAGGCAGTATGGAGTCCTCTTGAAGAGGGGCAGATCTATCGGCAACCCTAGAGTCAGTATCTAAATCTTCTGCGTCACTTTCGGGCTCTGCTTCATCGTTGCCAGTGTCTTGGCTGCTGTCGTCGTTGCTGCCGGGCTCGACTTCTCCATCTTCTTCCTCGGAATCCCTAGACTCGCTGGATTCATCTTGGTTGGCTTTTGGCCGAGGAGACTCCTGGGAAACTTCGTCGAGTGTTTGAGTTATGGAGCGCCAGTCGTCCAAAGGTTGAGAGCGGGTAGAGCGGGTAGAGCGGGTTTCTTGAGAGCCAAGGGTCCCTCGGGTTGATGAAGTTGGAGACGCTCGCTGACCGAATATCGCGTCAGCTGTAGGGGCAACATTTCGGCGTCTGGTGCCATATTGACGTGGTCTGCCCATTGAAGAAGCAGGAGATCTGACAGAAGATGATTGTTAGGAGATGTAATGGCATAATAGCTTGTACGATGGATGGACTTGAAACTGGAAGTATGAATAACAGTATAGTTCCTGCATATCCCAACAGCACTGAACGAATATGCAAAGATTCTCGATCTGTGTGTGGTAATTCTGGCCATCTGCTGCTTACAGCAAAAGAAGAATTCCCGGCCAGGCCACTGGCAGGTTGTTTACATCACGTGATATGAAGATGTTGATCTGGAACGTACCGTGAGAGAAGAGGAGTCAGGCTGGAAGTAATAAAAAGTTAGTAAAAGTTAATAAAAGTAAGGCGCCTCCACGCAGAGAGACGGAGGGGAGGATGGATCAAGGGTGGATTAATTGTTCAGCAGAGCAGGAAGAATTGATTTACTCACTCTCTTGGTTCATCGTCTCTGCATGCACAGAGACAGAGACAATCACCCAGATGCTTGAGGCACGATGTGACCATAGGGTAAGCCATTGTTCGGTTAGCTGTAAGCGACGGGACTACCTCGGTTCGGACTTTGTGGCTGGCGATGGTGGTGTTCAGTCTTAACGCCGAAAAGTGAACTTTGGGACGAAAACGCCAAGAAGGATGATGTAGACCAGGGTGACGCTGAATTGGCGTGCACGTGCACCAGCGTCTCCCACCTCACCTGACAGGGCTGAGGGCCTGAGGCTGACGGAGCGAGCGAGCGAGCCCAGACCAGATTATCTCCATCCTCAGTCACTCTTTTTTCCCACACTCTCTACTCACGCGACAGCCATCCACTCGCTGAGAGCTGCACATATCCCTGATGGCGGCATTGTTCAAAGCCCTCTTCGGAGGCTCCAATCCATCCGCATCCCCAATTCCCGCTGGCGACTCAGGTAAGCAAGCTCTCCGGCGCAATTCAGGATCACGGCGAGGTACTAATCCCCCACATCCAGACTTCGCAGATTTCGCCAGTGCCCCAGAGCCAGCGCCGGCAGCATTTGCCGCCTCATCTCCGGTTAGCTTCATGCGCGCAGGAGCTGCTCCAACGGGCGCGGCGGTCCCCTACACGAAATGGTACAACATCCACGAGCGGCACTCCCTGGGCGATTTCAAGCAGGAGGCTGTCATTATAGGATTAATCTTGATCATCATCATGGTCCACATCCTGGGCACAAGCTCGAACCGAAAGAGGGCGAAGGCATGGATTGACGCGCATGCGACTGTCCTCCAGAAGGAATTTGCCCTGGTAGGATTTGGGGGTCGAAGGGCCCCTGACGGCGCGACCCAGATTCTCGAGCTCCCCGAAGATCTCTTGAAAGAAAAGGCTCCCAACGAGTTTGCGACTTACGCGACTGGTAGACAAAATGTCGCATTCGTCGATGTGACCCTCACTCTCTTCAAGAGATACAGCCCGCTCACGATGTTCTTCGAGTTCGTGCTGAGTCTGTTCTTTGACAGTATGCAGGCGCCAGTTGAGAAGATGGAGGCTGTTCTCTACCCGTTCGACGGGCGTGAGGCCCTGACAATTACGGGCCAAGTTCCCGGGGCTCACGAGGTGCGCAAGGATACCAAGAGCAACTACGATGGGTTCGTTTGGGCGATTGTGAACAAGGAGACCATGAAGCAGCTTCGTGAAGAGAGATATGATGTCTCGATCACTAGCACCAAGGACAGCCCAAAGCTACCAAGTTGGGCTACTGTGATGAGTGAAAGTGCCGAGATCACTGACTTCCTCTTGACCCCTGAGCTCATCCAGGCCATCGAAAATGCTGGAGAGCTATTCAACCACTTAATCATTACCGATCAGCCTATTGACCGGCCATTAAAGTCAGTAAAATATACATGATGTCAAATCCATTGCTGACTTTGTCCAGACTCGAGGAGACCGCCCCCAAAAAGCGCATATATCTGTCACTCCGAATTCCTTCCAGCGATTTCTCCCCGATTCTCTCTATCTTCCAATACTTCATCCGTGTTACCGATATCCTCGCCCAATCCGCTCATTTCCGCCCCGAAGTCCTGCGCAAAGTGCGCAACACCCGTGACGAACTGATCCGTAAGCTCCAAAAGGCCGACGACGACGTAAAGGCTGAAGAGCGAAACATCGAGAAAGAGAAGGCCAAGAAAGTGAAGCGCGATCTTGAATTGAAAGCTCTAGACGCCAAGGGACAGAAGAAATTCCTCGAGAGGGAGAGGGAGAAGGAATTGCGGAAGAATCAGAAGAAGTATACTTCCAAGGGCTGACAAAGCAACGACTGAGTTATGTTGCTGTGTAGGTAAGACCTGCGCATTAAAAGCATGGTTGTGGACTGGTCAACGATCAGGGTGTATACTATCTCTGCCTTCTTGTAACTGATTCTCTCACCTAGCACTTTCCTAGCAATCAACCGAAATATCTATTTTTTTTTGGCAAGTGCCTATCATCACTTCTTATGTCTTTTAACGTCCCCAAATTTGAGTCGAAATTCGCTGCGGCATGCAATAAAGACCTCCTGAACCAGCAATCATCCACTGACTTCTGACCCAATTCCAGGCCCAATTCATCTACTTTCAACTCCTCTCATGTCCCAGACTGAATTCCAGATTGACTTGCAAGATGCAACGAGCCTTTTGGGAAGTCAGACAACCCCGGGATGTGAATCTTTCGGGTCTGCCTCCTTCCCCGGGTGTGCAAGCCCCCTGCAAGCGCTGCGTGTCAATCACGATAATATGGTTTGGGCGTAGTTAGTCCGGGCTGCTTGACTTGAGGTTTGCTTATTGGTATCATTTCACCATACATGCATGCCACCTCGAGTTGGCTCTGTGTCAACTGACCAACTGCGCCCACGATATCATAACACCTGAACTCCGTTCAGCCCGATCTGACGATAAGCTTTCACGTCAGACAAAATCGCTTCTCTCGACCTACCTAAGCCTCGATATCTCATCTTCCCGAACATTTCCTATGCTATAGCCGAATACCTCCGTCCGCAACATCAACATCAACAGACAGCGGTTCGATGCTTCCCCATTCGGTCTCAGCCTCCACTGCGCCCTCCTTCTATTCAAAACCAGGCGCCCGCATAATCACCACTCACAGTCCACTCCCATTCTTCAAAAGCAATATCGAAGCATCGACTTACGAGATTGTCACGTTTGTCATGAATAAGGCGCAGCTCGCCGATCCAATCATAGGGGAGTGTGACCTTTTCAGCCTTACGTGAAAGTCGCCTTGGCGACGTAACGTTACAAGGCTGATAGATCCTTCAAGAGCTCCTTCGTGCCTGCTGGATGACAGATCTGACGCATCAAGTGCTACCGACCGGCTGCCTGTGGATGGCGCAGTTCAGACTAGCGCAGGCGAGTTTAGCTAAATCCTCAGCTCCGTTCCTGACGAGTATGTATTAAAGGTAGGCAGTCCAGCTCCTCATTCTCGGATGCCATACATACAAACCAACAAACCAACAAACCAACAACCATAGCACCAAAACAGACCAAAGCAAGACATGTGTTTCGGAAGCAAAGCCACGCCTCCATACGACGGCGCTGGTCCCCGACCGGCGCAGTATAACCCGTATCCTCAAGCGCCGATGAAGCAACCGCGCAGGTACATCTCTCCTCCCTCCTTTCCTCTCTCCACCCCCCAACCCTTCTCCTTGCTGTATTAGAATGCAGATTCGAGTATATCTCTTGCGGCTTTGGGGCTGACGATTTGCACAGGAAGAAGAGATACGCCCATGCTTCCGTGGATTATCCAGTCTCTGACGGCGGTAACTTCGGTGGTACGAGCGGCCATCATGGACATCACGGTGGGGGAGGCTGGTTTGGCGGTGATGGGGTGGGAGGTGGAGGAGGGGGTGATGGAGGCGGTGGAGGCGGAGGCGGAGGTGGTGGAGGTGGAGGTGGAGGGGGAGGTGGAGGGGGAGGAGATGGTGGTGGTGGTGGAGGGTGTTGAAGAGAATGATGGCTACGAGTGAGAGTCGAGTGGACGTATGCTCATGATACCATGATCCTGATTTTTCGATTTTTGTTACAGGTTTGAATTGGCTACGGGGAGTTTGCCATGGGTCTGAATATCGATGTTGATGTTGATGTTATGCATGGTTTTCATCCCGTTCTTCGGTCAGGATAGGTAATTGAGGAAAACGTGAGAAGAATTTATTGCTATTTGACTTACCTGACATGGTTTATTATTATTCTTTCACTCGGAATCTTGCATAGGCAACGAATGACCTGACGCAAATCTCTTGATCTGTACGAAGTACCTAGCCCACCCTTTCCCCCCACCGCTATTTACGGATTCTATCCGTGACCTTCATTGTTCAGATCACTACGGTGGCATATTAATGGTGAGTTGGGTGGTGTGAAGGGAGTTGGAGACTAGGAGAGGAATCTAAGAAGTAGTATTCCACTTTGTAGGACAGGAGGGAGATGGGATGGGTATTAGAGTTGGGTTGTGGGCTGTGTGCTGGGATTGATTATAAGGAGAAAAGGAGCAAGAGGGGGGGGACTTGACCTTGAACAGGTACTGCGCGCGGAGATTGCGAATTTGGATGGATGTTTGTAAACTCCAGGTAGAGAGTTCGTGGGGAGGGGGAGGTAAGGGGGGGTTGAGGATCGGGTATGTTTTTGGTAATGAGAGCTTATAGAGAGCTTGTAGAGGGCATGGATTTAGTAACTAGGTTAACTTTGACGACGTTGGATTTTTTTCATCTTCGCTGTCGAAGTCTTCTTTTAGGCGATTAGAATTCAATAAGGTCAAGGATCCAATTTTTGGGAGGAGAAACTCTTGACTTGAATCTCAGAAAGGCTTCAAGGAGCTTGAGTATATATAGAGAGCTTTTTGGAGGTGTTGCTAGCGCCGTACAGGGCTGGGTCTATAGTCTGGTGGCCTGCATGTTTCGGTAAATACAATGATAAACCCTCTTGCATCCGATCCTCCTTAGGATTTAATATATCTGCTTGAGATGGTAATTCCATAGGAAGCTACTGCTATCTTTATGTGTTAGATCTGGGGGACTTTTCTGCAGCTTTGAAGAAGCTCGCTTGAGAGCTTACTTTGTAAACACTCTCTAACTTTACAACTATATTAGAGCATCTGAAGCAGGTTGCAAATACCGAACTCGTGAAGTTATTCGATGAAGATCAAAAATGGAAAATTGCAGCTCACTCACGGTTGAGTTCCAGTCGCTTTTTGACCAGTGACCACCGACTTAGCGATCCATTTCTTTAGCTACGAGAAGCATTCGGATCGACGAGAATCGGATAGAAGAATTTATTCTGTCATGCTCATCAGCTGTAGATTTCGATACCTCGAGACAGTTCCTTGAAAGATCTTCGTATTCTGATGCCTAGCGTGGGTAGTGTATTTGACGGATAAGCTTACCTGGAGTTGTAGCTGGATAATTCCTTGGCGCCTCGCTTAGCTCAGCTCTCGCTAAAGGTCTAGTGTTGGAATATTGGACTGCCGCCTGTATTCCCTTGTATGGACTAGCCTCTTGGCTGGTCCATTAGGTACACCTGTACTATAGCTCTCAGTCTCTCACACCTAATCTACTACACCTTCTGCACTCCTGATTCTATCATCTAGACTTTAGATATAGCTGCAAGACCTACTTACGCGGATTCCGAATTCTGCATTTGCTTTCACCCCATTACGCAATCAAGAAAGAGCTCCGTTTTTTCCTCAATTAGTTTGCAGAAATGGAAACCAAAAGTTCAAATACTGCTATGACTTCAGAGCAAGCTGGCTGTGTCTTTTGACGCTATTAAGCCTTGGCGATAAAGCGAAAGTAAACAATCAGAATACGAGAAAGAGACCGAAATATGGCACCGCTAAGGAGTGACCCGCTGCTTCAGTATTTACCATTCCGAGGCGGTGCAGATTCTGGTAGCGAGAATTGCCCAGAATATCTTTCCGTCCGGCAGAGCTTACGTGGATGCAACTCCTTCCTTGGTCTAAGAGAATCCAATGCTTACGCAGCTAGCTAGGTTACTCACTAGATCTACCTCTTCAAGCGAGAAGCAATTCAACAACGCATAAGAGATCCAACCAGCAACCAGTCGATTCTGCAAGCATCGTCAACCACAATAACAGGGACAAGGTCAATGAGGCGGAAGCTGTGTTCAGAAAATCCCCCATCGATTTTCTATCCCATTTTCCACCATCATCTGATTTGGAGTCTGGAAGATTAACAGGTATGCGCGAGTGTTCCATAAATGGCTTCCCCAGTGGCGGTTTTCGTAAGAGAGTTTTGCTGTGAAGGATCCTGTTGCTGCCACTGCTACGGAACAGCCAATTCGACGTGGGACAATTCCTGCTAAATATCTTTGGATATTGCGAGTAACAAATAGGCCTCAGCGATCAGAATCTAGCTAATCTTTAGTCTTGACCTGCAAGTATCCTTGGATGTTGCGAATGACAAACAGGCCTCAGCTGTCGAAATCCAGCTGATCTCTTGTTGCAATGTGCACATACTGAATTAGCAAAATATTTAACCACCATAAAATCACCTCGGCCGGCCCCCCTCTGGTCGAGGACGCATCTTCAATACTCAGTTAGGATGCCTTGTAATTGTCCAACCTCGGGCTAACGAAGAAGCAGCAAGGACCCGCATTCAAACTACACTATACACATAGATCCCTATTACCTATCAATTTGCCTCGGACTATTCAAGAGGCCGAATTATATTGGCAGTATTACCACGCGGCAGCATGAGAACATCAATCGAAAGCCAACCCAAACTCAGTCTGTCGATTACACACGACCCACCGGGATAGTTCAAGCACAAAAGAGATTTCGCTGCCAACAGATGAATCGTCGTCATTTCACTATAGCCTCAGCTTTCATCTGCTCATTGCAGAGCGCGCTTTCCCAACTTTGAGGAGGAATCCTGACCGTGCTACGAAGCCGAATTCATGGTCTCAAAAAACATGATTTTAGATAAAAGGTATACCCGGTCCCGGGCCAGCCATAAGAAGAATCTAACGGAGTAATTTCGTTCTGTCCCTTCCACAGAGAGCTTCGTCTCCCTTATATACATACTATGCCCTAGCCTCGACCTCGTTTATCTCATAAGAAATCAGGCGAGGCCTTGAATCTCGAAATGTGCATGTTCGAGAAATTCACCATATCAATTTAGAGACAAGTAGACGCCTGTTATTGAGCTGAAATAAGTATGTAATCCCCAACAAAGAAAGCTTTCTTTGAATCCATACGAGAGAGTAATCTGAAGACGAAGAACAATTGCGTTTGATAAGGAGGAACTGCGAGGTGGTGTTGGGTCCAATCCGGAAATTATGCTTTTGCTTCAGATACAGGAGGGGATAGCGATAGAATGTATAGAGCCCGTAAGTTAGCGAATAAATGAAAGTGCTGTTGAGAAAAGAAGTGTTGTCACTTCTGTTTATCTCGCCGTGTCTTTCTGCTATTGCTGTGATCGATTGCGGAAGGAGCAGGCAGAGCAAAACTGCATCTTAGAAGTGATCCAAGGCATGGGAAGGGATAGCCCTTATTGAAGGGTTGGCCGGTGGGATTTTGTTGTCCCAAACCGTGATGACTTGCAAGCTGGCACCGAACAGCTAGACACTGAGCAGTCGGGCAGGGGGCTTTCCTACCATATCACACTTTGTAATTGTTTGTGTTTAAATCCCTCTTATATATGACGATAGCAGCAGGATCCTAACACAAAGGGCAGTGACTTATCTTGTGTGTTGCACCACTCGAATCGCTAGTCTGAAAATACTCGACACTATTTATCCAGCAGAATTATTCCAGACCAACACTGTATATTATATCCCGCTAAGAGTTGCCTAAATAAGCAGGCGAATAGACCAACGAAAGCCTTAGAAACACTTCCGTATAGGTACAACATAGCACCCGGCTTTCGACCTAATCGTACCCCTGTAAGTGTCCCAGATATTTTGTAATCAAGAAATGAGAGTGAAAGCCGCCAAATCCGTCCAAGCCCATAATTGAGTGATTACTCAACTGCCAGACTTCTTCTTAATCATCATCAGTCACAATGAACGGCACCTCGAGTAAATAGCCAAATTTTATATCAGCCAAAGACTTGACATACACCTCCTTCCAATTGGAGATCGAATTGACCGAGCTTGCGAAGATGTACCCCAAGCACAGTGGTATGTAAGCTCAAGGAAGACTATATGATAGGAGCAGATGCATACTTCTTCTCACGGAGAATGGACCACTGTAGCTCGTGTGAAACCTAAGCTGATCACGAATTTCAAATAGCGCAAAAAGAGCGAGGTTGTAATTCCGACTATCAACGCGTAAACAAAACTACCATGGAACATACCCTGTCACCTGAATATTCCCTATCAACAAGTTAGAACACAGCTCACTCAAAGGTGCCACACGCAATAACCGCAATATAAGAATCGGTCGGATATTCATTATACGCAAAGAGCACTGAGCGCGCAGCTACGACCAGCTGATATATGGAATCAATGAATTGAATGATGATGGTATCTGGCACGGGGCTTGTGAGTAGTAGCTCCTTGGTGTACTGTGCTTACATACCTACCGAGCCCGAGGGAATGGGGTGGGAAGGGAAGCTGGACTTGAGGACTTTGTTTACCTTAGCCGAAAAGAAGCGTGGAGATAGGTAAGCAGGCTCCACTGCAAGGATTCCTCAGTGTGACTTTCGTGCCTCGCCGGCTAGGGATTTTGGCCGCAAGCGAAAATCGATGGCAGCCAGCGAGTCCCTAGGCTAAAGTTCGACGGCTGATACAGAATGAAGGCAGAGGACAGCGACAAACGTATGAACGAACGTGTGAAGGAAGCCGCTTGGCTGGATCCTACTTCTAGGGACTGAGCAATTCACATCCAATCTTTCATCCACCACCCATAGCCCAAGACGACACACGACAAAGTAAAATCGCTGGGGTATCAATATTTTCAAGGCGGCAACACAGTATCCGCCGCCGTATCCGGGCCGAGCCCCGGATTCTCATCCAAACTCCCACTATCGTTCGCACTCCCGTTCCCACTGCTCCTCTTCGGCTTCACCATGAGCAGGATAAACATGCCCACCACAAGTAGAATCAACAAGAAGATAACCCGCCTCTTCGTTCCCTTCTTCTGATACCCACTCGCTATAGTCAACTCCTTATCTGCGGCCTTGACATCTACCGCCATACGCTCTACATTATAATCGATCCGATCCAGCATCGTGCCCTGGTCGATAATCATTGTTTGCAGCTCTTTGAAGATGTCGGCTAATTCAATGATGCCTTGGGCAATGTCAGTGATTTCGCGCTCCCGCTGCATGATTGCTGCGTCGTTGGAGGTAAGCTGTTTCTGGGAAGTTTGCTGAAGAGTAGATTGCGAGTATGACTTGTCGGCGTCGGATTCCATGAGGGACGGGTCAGTGTAGGATGTGTAGAGAGGGGTCGAGGAGCGGTCTATGGAGGGGTTCATGCCGGAGAGGCCACGGAGTTCTGTATGCATCAGGATCGAACCCGGAGATTTGTGAGAGGGACATACTTTTAAGGTATGCGCTCTGCTTTTTCCTGAAGCCTGCGCTGGCCTCCTGCACCCGTCCTGCGAGCGAGATTTGTATGTTCCTCGCCATGGTCTCTTCTCCCTTGCTAATGCCACCTTGCTGCTTATTTTCTCTGACCATCTGCTCCACCTTCTGTATCGCTGCCTGGCAGTTGTGAAAGCCCCTCGTGATGTCCTGCGTTAGCCTCTCAATCTCGCTCTCCTCATCCCTCTTCACTTCCTCGTCGTCAAATCCCGGCAATACGTGCTTCTGGTGCAGTTTCTCCAGTTTGACACTCTTCGCCGCAATGTCCGTCAGATACTCGGTTACCTCATCTGATATATCTGCCCACCTCGGGGGCAGAAGGTCCATTTCTATTACAGCATCGCCGTCGTCCTCGAATGCGCCGGCGGACATGAGACCTTGCCGCTCCGAGGAACCGGACGGGATGGAGGAGCTGTAGCCATTGCCGGACGAGGAGTACTTGGTCTTCTTTGCCGGGTGGTGTGCGTAGGATTGGCGGTAGGAAATGTAGCTGGGGGATGTCAGTTAGTAGCTGGACAGGCAGGTGTACGTGTACATGGAGGGTGGAATGTACAGATTCGTGCGATCGCGCCACATGGCGGCGGTTGTTGGAGGTTTTGAGGTCAGTATAGAGCTGTATTAGATGATCGTCAAGACCAAGGAATCGTCGATTAGAGAATTAGTAGAGAAGGTGAGATTGTATTCATTGTGATGGTGAAGAGGTGTCGAAGTCACCTACTGGCCACCGTACTCCGTACAGCTGGAATTTGATGCTCCCGTCCCCACTTTACTACTTAGCACCCGCGCAATCGACGCTCATCATCAATCTCCTTGTCGTCTGCCCAACAAGCCCTCCGTCTTCGACCTTCAACTCACCTCGATATACTCCCCCTCCCTCTCCCCCAGCCCGACGACACATTACTCAAACAACAAATTCATTACAACACCCTGACAACTTTCTCTGCACCTTTCACAAGATGGTACGGTTTCCCGCACCGCCTGACAATCTCAGGCGACCCCGCGATTCTATCCTGGAGTCCTTCTAATGTCTGGGGATCTACAGGCTGATTCTCTTACCGAAGAGCAAGTGTCCGAGTTCAAGGAGGCCTTCTCCCTGTTTGTAAGTGCTGCTGCCCCTTTCTTCAGCCGCAGCGAGAGCCGGAAGGCGTCTTTACAAAATTGGCTTGCTGACATTTCCGTGCAATAGGACAAGGATGGTGATGGTCAGTACCCCAATACCTACTCCCAAGCGCTACCATAGCAAAGCATTAAGCAAAATCAACAATGGTTGCCCACCGACAAGGCTCAGGGGCAAGGTCATCCAGGAGACGACAAAGGCTGATAGGGTATTCACAGGACAAATCACTACCAAGGAGCTGGGAACCGTCATGCGATCGCTGGGCCAGAACCCTTCCGAATCCGAGCTTCAGGACATGATCAACGAAGTAGACGCCGACAACAACGGCACCATCGATTTCCCAGGTGCGGCCTTCCTCCGAACAGCAGGCGAAATAGTTGGGTGATGGGAGTTGCTGACGCGTGGCAGAGTTCCTGACAATGATGGCGAGAAAGATGAAGGATACCGATTCCGAGGAAGAGATCAGAGAGGCTTTCAAGGTATGCAGGATTACCTGGTGGGGTCTTGGGGGATAGGGCTGATAGAAGCAGGTTTTCGATCGTGATAACAACGGTTTCATCTCCGCTGCCGAGCTCCGCCATGTTATGACATCCATCGGTGAGAAATTGACGGATGACGAGGTTGACGAGATGATCAGAGAGGCTGATCAAGACGGTGATGGGCGAATTGACTGTTAGTCCCGTCCCCCAAGTTCAAGCAGAACTAGCTAACAATGTACAGACAACGAGTTCGTTCAGCTCATGATGCAGAAGTAGAGCATTTCTGGGCGCTCTGTGCACGAGGCAAGCGAGCAGGCTCCGGATCTTGCACGGTCGTTCCTGGACGGCTGGATATCGGATCGGGGCCGAGCATCTCTCATGAAAAATGGCTAGGTGGAAGGTCTGGGTCTCAAATAACGTTAGGATGATTACCCTTCAAATTCAATGCGGTCTACTTTCGAGGACACTTTTGGTTGAAATGGTGTGTTTGTGTGGATCGCTCTCCTCTCAAGCGTTCCATTTCAATCCAGGATAATGAACTGTGACATCCGAAAGAGAAGATTTATCCTGGGCGGTTTCGAGGCAATTGAAGACCAATCTGTCTCTCAATTGAGCTTTTGTCTTGTGATTAGCCCTTCCCTAATAAATCATGTCAAGATCAACGTGTGGATTTGAGAACATCTTGTATGAGGCTCTTGCGGATGCTTGTTATCTGATCTGGGATCATGGATTATTTTCCAGGTCAAAGGCCGTCGTCAAAATCAACAGTGACCGCATATCCGTAGATCCCTGCCAAGACGGCAAGTGGGACGCGATCAATATATCCCCAGATATCAGATAACCACAACTCAAGACACTTCTCGCTTACCTTACTTCTACATTCTTTTCACTTCAACCTCCTTGTAGAGGCTTTTCTTTCTGCTTGATGACTATCTTGGGATTCTGAATTCATTGTAACTTGTATCCAGTACATTACAATACATTATTATACGTCCTTCCCTATCAGTGACCACCAATATCCTCGACGAATACAACACCTCCTGAACTCTTCTACTTCCCACCCCTCTCCAAACCAATACACAACCCCAGGTTCCAAAAATGCCAATCATCCGCCGCTGGAGGCTCGTCGCCCTCGCAATCATCTTCACACTCACATCTATCTACTACCTCAACCACAAGCGCAATGTCTGGAACTACGGCTATAAGCCTCGTGTCGGCCACAGCGCCCTCCCTGACGACCGCGTGCATTGGAAAAAACTTCCCGATCGATACCCCGTCAAAAGCTTCATCCCCCTCCCGACGGGGAAACCAATCAAGATACCGACTGTACAAGCGCCCGCCCCCGCAGAAGACGCAAAGGCGAAGGAGGTGCGGTTGCAGAGGAGAGATGCCGTGAAAGAGAGCTTTGTACATAGCTGGACGGGATACAAAGAGCATGCGTGGCTCAGGGACGAGGTCACACCATTGTCAGGGAGCTATAGGGATACTTTTGGGGGGTGGGCGGCTACGTTGGTAGACGCATTAGATACGCTTTGGATTATGGGATTGAAAGAGGATTTCGAAATCGCGGTTAATGCCGTGCAGGAGATTGACTTCTCGAGTACGGATGCGGCCGATGTCAACGTTTTCGAGACGACGATTAGATACATGGGAGGCTTTTTGGCAGCGTATGATATCAGCGGGAGGAAATACCCCGTACTACTGGCGAAAGCGGTTGAGGTGGGCGACCTCTTGATGAGTTGTTTTGATACGCCGAATCGGATGCCGATCACGAGGTGGGATTGGAAGAGGTGAGTTTCCCATCTCAAGGAGTGTGAGGATAACGTTCTGAAGAAATGAGTTATGTAAATGGGCTCGCCCAGACAGCTCCCGAGCATATGCTGGTCTCTGAAATCGGCTCCCTCAGCCTGGAATTCACACATCTCTCTCAACTCACGGGAGACCCAAGATACTATGACGCCGTCCAAAGAATAGGTGACGAGTTTGAGAAGTCACAGAACAGCACCCAGCTTCCAGGTCTCTGGCCTGTGAGCATCAACGCATCCAAGCCTTCTTTCGACGAAGATACATTGTTCACTCTCGGCGGCATGTCTGATTCTCTTTACGAATACTTTCCTAAGCAATTCCTCATCCTCGGCGGCCTGCTCGCCCAGCCTAGAACTATGTACGAGAACTTTATCGATGTCGCTAAACAGCACATGTTCTTCCGCGCCTACAACCCCGATAACTTGAAAGTCAAATTCTCCGGCGAGGTGCGCGCTAGTGATGGAGAAGTATCTATGTTCCCGCGGGCGCAGCACCTGACGTGCTTCGTAGGCGGCATGGTCGGTCTCGCCTCAAAGATCTTCGAGCGGCCGGCAGACCTCGAAGTCGCAGAAGAATTAACGAAAGGTTGTATATGGGCCTACGACACTTCCGCCAACGGCATCATGCCCGAAGTCTTTACCGTTCTTCCTTGCCCAACGGAAAAAGACAGCGATTGCAAATGGGACGACAACAAACCTTGGCATGCAGCCCTGAAGGCCAAGTTCCCTGACCTGGCCCACGGAACCGAAGGCGAGAAAGAATTTGACGCCCAAAGCGTTATCAAAGAAGAGCGTCTTCCTGCTGGCTTCACAGCCATCGACGACCATCGCTACATCCTCCGCCCGGAAGCTATCGAGTCCGTGTTTCTCATGTACCGTATGACGGGCAAGCAGGAGTACGCGGACTCTGCGTGGCGGATGTTCCAGGCAATCGAGAAGGTGTGCCGAACGGCGATTGCGGCGGCGGCCATTGGGGACATTACAGTGCCGTTTGATACGCAGAGCGGGGAGGAGAATGGGGCGACGGGTGAGAAAATGGATAGTATGGAGAGTTTCTGGCTGGCGGAGACGCTCAAGTACTTCTATCTCTGTTTCGAAGAGTGGGACGTGGTGAGTTTGGATGAGTGGGTTCTGAATACCGAGGCGCATCCATTGAGACGGCCGGGGTGAATGTTATTAGGTTTATAGATGGGGGACGGCGGAATGATAATGAAGTATATATATACCTGAGGGACTGGGTAGGAGAAAAGTATTCAAGAAGGGGGCTCAAACGAGAGGGAGAGCTCATCTTATACAATTTTCACGCAGCTCCGATCTAAGTCTCCATGTATGCCCCTCGTCTTCTGCTTTGTGGGTTTGATCAGCCACGGTGAATTTTTTTTAGCCTGTGTTTCTCTTTCTCTCTCTCCGTCTTCAAGTAATACTTTCTCTATTTTGATTCTAGGCTTGGAGCTCTACTTTTATGCAAAAGAATTGAATAGAGATTGATAATCGTGGGGCTCTTGACAGCAACGGCTCCTGATCAGACGCAAATATGTATATTAGCAATATCTTAATGCTTGCTTTCGTGCGTTAGCTGCTTGAATTTTCTGCACCTGGGTTTTGCAAATTCAGGCGTATGGATCAATTATTCCGCCGAGATTCAGAGAACCTTATAAATCCAATCCTTCTTCTCTTTCCCAATCGCTTTCTGCACCCTTCTGCATCACATGGGTTTCATTTGAATCGTTGCCAGATCCGGCGTGGATTCGGGGCGGTTGAAGCTTATGTAGTTTTTTTCATTCTTTTGAATGATTGTATCGAGGTGCCGGTGAAGTTAGTAAGAGAAAAGGTGTTCGGTGCAGAGTTGAGTTAGCGCCATATATATGAAGATCCAGCCAGGTCCGGCTTCTCTTCTTTTGGGTCTTAATTTATAGATGGGTGGATTGAATGCTAGAGAGATGGCATTATATTGATGGCTTACTTGCGTTGTTCGAAAAGGTTTACGTTCACGCTAGAAAGGAACATGATCTCGCATGATATAAGAATGGCTGTATCTGTTATTGGAAATTTATAGATTCCCCGTTCAAGGACCGTCGCTCTGCGAGGTTGTCTGGACTTTGAAGAAAAGTTGCCTTCGTACCTAGACTCTCCTAGCCTGACCCTGAGCATTTGAGAAGGAGAAACTATTTTGAGGCCCGACAGCAATTTTCTTCATTGCAGCGGCAGCCTGGCCGTTTTCCTAATGTTCGGCTGGGGGGTTTTTTTAAAAAAAAAAAAATTGGCAGGCCCTTCACCCCTTGCCAGCCATGGTCGCATTTGACTTGTTCAGCCTGTACAGAATGACACACACATATGATTCTGACAGTCGTACATCATCATTGGATAATACAAGCCCGTTGCATCTATGAACTGCTTACCTATGTCAGAGTCTTAGCCAGTCTCCACTCTCCATAACCCTTTGCAAGACAGTCTCAACTCATTCAATTCTCAACTGGTACCACTTACGCTGAACTTACTGAGAAAGATTACGTCCCACTTTTCAATATATTGGAAGGGGCGTTTTCTCTACGGTCTCATTGATAATATAATATAAAATGGACTCAAATGCGATACTGTCGCATGCGCCATGTGGCTCTGCATACCCGATCCAAATAGATATATCCAATGGAGAGACTTCCAGAGAAGTCTGGGGCACGTCAAGAGAGTTGGGGCAGACGCCATCGCAGCTATCTCGCAATCAAGAAGATTCTGGCTGTCTAAAAGCTGCTCGATACTAAAAGGAGAGGAGCGCATATAGGAAAGTAAATAAGTGTTAAAGCACGATGACAACAACATATGAAATGATAGTAGATATCCTTTCAAGATAAAATATCTTGCCTTGATATTGACCGCGCCATGTTTTCGACGGTTACTTGCCACCGTTTTGTTGTAACTTGTAGCAGATTTTGAGATTATCTTTTTAGAAGCGACTTTCTGATTACAGATACTTGCTTGTCTCAAGATGATCAAGCAATTAGATTAGCAGAGCCAGATCGAGCTGATACGGAAACGCTTGTGAAAGACATCCATAGTATCAAATATCAATACGAATTCTATATGATCGTGTGGGAATGATGGACTGAGGAATGGGAAGGATCGGAGATAAGATCGGATATACAACGGGGCCTTGGCAATCACGTGTGGCCTAGGCATTCACCACTACATGTAGCTGCACCTCGCAGCAATAACCTCCTTCCTCTCGCAGACTTAACAATACAACGAATACCACAACTTGCTATTCGTACCAAAGTCTCAACGTGTGCACACCTATGTGGATATACCAATAGATCGACATTGTTTCTTCATATCAGTTATCGTATTAGCGAGCTGAGTTAGTGAAAATAAGGATGGGGAAGGGGCGCGGTAACTGATTATTCTAGATGAAGGTAGGATAAAAGGGCCAAGAGAGAGAGGGGGTTTTGAAGGGCAGAATATAGCGAATCAGTTGATGGACTGGTCAAGCACGATATCGGGTTTTCAAGTGTGCTATGCTATCGCGCCTGTTAACACCCTGTCGTAGCTCAAGAACTCGTGTATTCTTTGCATCGACGATAAATTTTAGTTTCGTAGGCCCGGGGCATCAGTCGAAGCGAATGTCAACAAATACAGAGAAGTTTGGCAGCACCCGTTACTTCGAGGAATCGACAGCGGCAAGCGTCTTTAAAAATAGCTACTAGATCACCAGTGTTAATATACAACTCTCAGCTTTAGAATATAGCTAAGGCCTGATGACGGAAGATTGTATCCAGGATGTAAAATTTTTTTGGTGCAATGGGTGATCATCACTCGACCCTCACATATCATCGAGGAACACTACGTAAAAACTTGATTAATCGCTTATTGATATCGCTTATTAATACGAAAAAAAAAAAGGAATCTTGCGGAGTTAATAAGCGACATTTGCATTCTTGCAGTCGAAATCTACTTTTTGCAATTAAGAATTACGATCATAAACTCTTTTCCTTTCGAATACTTGATTAATAGCTAATTAATAAGAAAAATAGAAATGCTCGAAAAACAGCTTGCTGCATCGCTTTAAAAGAGGCTACTGCCATAAATTAGATGCCCGAAAAATAGCTGCTTGCACCGGGCTGCAAAAAAAGCTATTGTGCTATGAATTGGATGCTCGAAAAGAATGGCATCGGGCTGAAAAAAGCTAATGCTATAGATTGAACGCTTGAAAGAGAGCTAGCTGCATCGCGTTCAAAGAGGCTATGATCACGAGTTAAATGCTCGAGGAATAGCTAGCTGCATCGCGCGAAAAAGGGCTATTGCTATAGATAAAATGCTCGAGATATAGCTGCTTGTATCGCGCTAAAAGAAGGTATCATGATAAGATGATATAGCTACGAATAGTACACCGCGAAGACCGGAAATCTTACGGCCCTCCGCAAGCTCCGGGGCCAAGGATCAGACCTTTTGTCAGTATGAAGTAATTTCGGGCAGCTCTGCTTGATAATAAGCGACTCTCCTCGGATAAGCCCAGCTAGTTAGTTCTCTACGGACTGAATTCATCGTCATTCGAGGGGCTGGGGAAGAATTTCGGAGCTTTGGTCTGGGAGGCGTCCAGTTTCGCTGAGAGATGGGTGGATTACGTCAGGGATCCTGTCAAACCTCGGGTTGGACTCCGGATGAAACGGGTGGAACGGGTCCGGAACGACGGCTCGGAGCCTTTCGGACTCGGACCGCTCGGATGCAAGGGGAGGGGCAGGGATACGGATACGGGGGAGATGTCTGTCGGGTCAGCGTTGAGTTTGTCGGTTCGGAATTGTTGACATGGCCGACGCACCGCGCGCATCGCTGTACCGTAAACAGATACACCATATAGAGGCGAGAAGCGATAGAAACGAGAGAAGCGAGAGAAGCCATAGCGAAATCAGAAGAACTAGTCGTTCTCATTTGCGGTATCAGTTTCCATGCCATTCATTTCGCTGAAAGCGCAGCGCTTCGGAGACTACCGCTGAAGCGACAGCTAATGTCGCTAGACACAGTTGTCGAAATTCCATGTATATAGAGACGCGTCACTTTGAAAATCGATTTGCGGAGTATAATGTTCGATATCATGTTTTTATTTGTTGATGCCCAGGTCCTTAACATCTTAAGAGACCTAGTTCCCATCCACCAAACCTCCTTACCCCCGAAATACTAGCAACCCTGTTGTCGAAGAAGAAGAGAAGAGGAGCAGTCCAACTGCCTAGTGGATCCCAGCTCTAGAGTAGAGTCCAACCCATAACCCATTCCGTCGCCAATCCCATGCCTATCATAGCCTCGCAATAGGCAGAGCGAGCGGGCGGATGAGGCCTTCATTGTAGCTAGTTCCAGGCGCAAGGAACCTGGAGGATATCGTCGGGGAAAATTGCGTTGATGTTCTTGATAACGTCGGAGTTCATACTCTGCAATACACTGGTACTGGTGCAGAAATCATCCGCAATAAATCTCAACTGGTCGCCACTGACGATCTTGTAGTACCCATTCGAACTGTTCGGGATCTTGGCGCAATCGCGCTGTCGGACTTTGCAAGGAACTCTGATAAAGGTTCCGGCTGAGAATGAGACACCGGGGTTCAAGTTTCGCAGATTGCCTTCATTGGAGCAAAAGTCGGCCGCGACGGCATCCAGGCGATCGTTAGCCGTGAAGGTGTAAAAGCCGGTGCCGGAGGTCCCGGCCGCGCCGCTGTTGTCGACACGGCAGCCTCGGCGGAGGGCGGTCGCGACGCCGAGGAAGGAGGCGATCAAGAGGAGGTTGTTATTGAAACGCATCGTGGAGTTGGTAAATAAAATTGATCGTTTTGATGAATTGAGCTTATAGGAAGACTGTAGAACACTGTAGTGATAGTGTGTGATGAAAAGGATGATACGGGGAGGAACAGCTCATGTTATATAGTTGTAACAGCAAAGTGGCCCGGCAATTTCGTATGTATACTTTCTATTGCTGGTATGAAAAATACGAGCAATATACTTTTTGCAAGGCAGGCCATGGGATAATTCGAAACAAGGGGGTTTTTTTATATCGGGAAATTAAGTTTTCGAAAATCATCGTCAAGCACTAGAAACCTACGTAGTAAGAGCTCTCGGCCACAATCAAGTCAAGAAAGTCAACAAGTGTCTAAACTATGAGAGTCGGTGTTCGGAATAACGCACCCGTTACTATAGAACCTGAGACCAAAAGTAGCCGGTTGCCGATAGCTTCCCTCATTACCGCACGGTAATACGTAGTATATGAAGTTATCCTTTACCGTATTATCCTTTACCGTAGTACAACTACTACTACTGCGTACTTGGTACATGCCCGAAATAATGTAAAAACGCTGTCTGAGCGCAATTCTACTTAAAGGTTTCCGTTAACAAGGCTCTTGTGCAAGGGGTACGACCAATAATACTATGTATAACGGTAATAATTCAAGCAGCATTGCCAAGGATCTAGTTTGCACAGACTAAAATTGTACATTGTTTACCCATAGTACGAAGTATATCCGTACGGACTTCGATCAATACGAGGTTCTAGACAGTGACGTCGAAATATGCTTCGAACATGCTAGTAGTAGAGTTTTTTTTTTTTTT